AGGAAAAATATTTTATCTTTGCGTTGACGCCACAACAAGTTAGAGAAGTGTGCATCTCCCGGTAAGCCTGTTTCTTGATTGGTCGGTTCCTCTGCAGTAACTGAAAAAACTTTTTAAAATCGACTTTAACTGATTTAAACTTTTTCAGAGACTTTCTACCAGGTGGGAGGAGAGACTATATGGTTCAGATTCAGCTGAGGTGAGGATGTTCAGTTTTCTGTAAACACTTAAAGTGACATTTATAGAGCCCGTTCCACACCGAACACAGTGCCTAAAGACAACACGACATTCCAGATTTGACCAATCAAACCGATGTGTGACTTATACACACTGAATTTTGAGGAAAATTCGTCCTCAAAAAACGAACGGTTTAAAAAAAAAAAAAGAAGAAGCTGAAGCGATGATGATCTGGTCCTGATGTTCCTGAAGGAGAAATAAAAAACATAATTGTCCAGATTTTTAAATATAAATACAGCTCTGTCTTATTTCTCCTACACCGGTTAGGCTCGACCCACTTCTCAGTTAAGAGTAATGATGAAGTCTCAGTTACCTGAATAGAGTATATCAGAGTATATCACAGTATATCTGACTATATCAGAGTTATCTGTGTATATCTGACTATATCTAAAGTTTCGTACCGGGCTCTGAAATGTTTGTGTGTTTTCAGGTTTTGTTTATCAGAGACGAGCTGCCCTCAGGAGGACAATTACCCCAACAGTCTTTGCATAAAGGTCAATGGAAAACTGTTTCCTTTGCCAGTAAGTGCTCGTTGTACTGCAGTCAAACAAGAAGCCAGGCAAACTTTATATTGTAAATATGCTAACGTTGGATTTCTGCCTGCAGGGCTACGCACCGCCACCAAAAAATGGCGTGGAACAGAAGAGACCAGGAAGACCACTCAACATTACCTCCCTTGTTAGACTCTCATCTGCAGTACCCAATCAGATTTCAGTGACATGGGCACCTGAAATTGGAAAGGTAAGAGAAGAAGCTCAAGTTGGAAATGTTTTAAGCATGCTTATGTGTATGTGCTGTGATGTGTGGAGGTGGAACAGCAGGCCTCAGTCAGCAGTACATGTGCAGAAAATGAGCTCACGTGGAGAATTACTGTCAGACTGAAGACATCAATCCATATGCCGGGGGGGAGATGCTCTCTGAATGCACAGGGTTGTAATCTGGATACTGCCACACACACACTTCTCTTTAAAGAAACACATTTACAGTCACATCGTTCTAGTCTCATCTCTGAAG